CGCAAGTGTATGCAAATGTAGATGAGAATGCAAGAACAAGATATTGGTGAATATATGAAAACTCGCATATTGCGTGAAGAGATAAGATTAAGTGAACACAGAATGAGCAACTAACTACTTTCAAGAAATGAGTTCAGAGAAAATGGGTTATATAAAAACGTTGGAAAGATGACAAATTTAAAAACTTGGCAAAGGCGATGGTATGATGTAATCAAGGCGTTAAATATTAATTTGCGCGTGTATGTTTGTGCGACCAGCATGCAAAGAGGAAAATTTCTGCTGTCTCGTTTGAATAAAGATAGAAAAATTACATTGGCTATGGAGAAGATAAACAACGAATTGAGGAATTGTGATATACGAGCGACAATATACGATAGGACAACTGAAAAGCTGCAGCTAATAAAAGAGCTGACTGCACATAGTTGAAACCAACTAGGAATGACAAAATAGCGAACCTATTGAATTAGAATTGTGTAAATATGACAGGATATTAACGGAAAGTGCATGAGGCTTAAAGATAAAGACGATATGAGACAGTGCAATGAGAGTTAGAAAGAAATAAGGAAGGAAAAAGATAACAGTGAAAAGTAGGGAAGATATGACGTAATATGCTAAATATATGAGTAGAAAATAAAATGGAAAGAACGAATTCTTAATCTTCACTGGGCCAGTGGAGAATAGAAAATAATCAAATCGTCTGCAAAAGCTCAAGTCCATTGCGAATTTTCAAGTGCCTCACAAAAACCTTTTAGACCAGATATAGACATGGAGATAAGCGCACGTGTGTGACATAAATACATACATACATGGATAGATACGCATGCGTATCTATTTATCACGAAAAATTAGTGATTCGTTTCTCGGGTAGCAAATTGAAAAGCTGCAGCACAGAATTAAGCAAACGGTTTCGAGAGTTAAAGGAGATTCACACCATATATTTATAATATATATATATATGTATAACAGTTAAGTGTACAAGCATTTGGATACACGAAATGTGACAAGTGCAATATGAATTCGACTGAGCGATTCGACAAAATGGGATTTAATGAGTACAAGCGGTCAGGATATACGAATCAGGCAAGGGCGACGCCAAAACTTTTCCCACACTTCATAATACTAAACAAAGCATTGCATTTCGAGCAAAACTTTACAAGGATTTACAAATGATGAGCTTTGAAGGATCGATGCAACCAGGTTGATCAGTTAAGGAGAAAAAGATGGAGAATGTTTTGCGAAAGAGGATGAGATAAAACATACTAAAGGCACTATAATAAGAGAAGTCCGAGGTTCGACGAAGCAAAGCAGGAAGCCAGATGCAGCATGTGGGCAAAAAATGAACTCTTGAAACGAGCCGTTCTTGTTATATCCATTGAGGCTAGTTTGGACTTTACACGAGACGAGGTTGCCAAAGCAAAGCTTAAACATAGCATACACTCGGCATTCGAACATAAGAAGTGGATACAATTATAAATGCCAACCATAGACAAAGGCGAAAACTGTACAGTGGTCTTGGGTACAGCAGGATATTTACAACAGCAAAGAGCACCTGCACCAAATAATCCTTTGCAAAACGAGAGAGAATTTTTACAGCCCACTCACTGGGTGCAACAGTGAATATCCACATAAGCCATAGCCAGCCAGTCGGCCAATTGAGACAGCCCCCACTCAGTGCAAAGATCCCAGCTCATTAACATATGCTCAATTCAAGTAGTCAAAATTAAGAAGTTAGCACAATGGTAGTATGTGCAAGTGTGCCAATAGTGTGCCGATAGCTGTCGCTTTGTGCTATTTTTACAATGAAATATAGAAAAGAAAAGGGAAGCAGAGAATTGGATGGAAGAAAATAGGCTAAGAAAAAATCAGATAGATATTTTTACACAGTAATAAGGCCAAATGACAACATTTAAAGAACAGTAGGGAGATATTTGTTACAGCGAGACGCGTGCAAGTTCTTAAACTAAAGGATGCAAAGTATAGGCAGAATAGATAGGTGCGCTAAACAAATACATGATATAGCAAACAATGACGAATAAGAATGAACAAGAATAGGAAGTTGAGGCAGATGAGTGAAACAGGAAATAAAGAAATATCCAAAATGATAACAATAGCGACAATGAAAGTGATAGTAATAGCCTGTGTTTGGTAAGTGTAGATTAGTAGTAGTGTTAGGAATAGTGGTATACGGGCCGAACAAAGACAAGCCGTCGTCAAATGAATTTTCAGGATTCAGATAGATGCTTTAAAGAAACCGTATTACGCGTTCCAACAGTCACATTTAGTCTTAAGTACCTATGTGCATGTATGCATGTGTACGCGGAGAGATGCAGACTAACGACGGCCTGAGAGGGAAAAAGGGTAAAATGAGCCAGTTAAAAGGAAAAAAAAGTGGCAATGGAGAAAAAAATGTATAGAAAAAGGGGATTGGATGGAAAAGGTGGCATGAAGACATTTAAAGTAGGAAACAAATGAAGAAGAGTTCAAAGGATGCGCATTGCATGAAGAATATGGCCTTGTCTAAGCGTCAGCGGCCACCGACTCAGCAGATGCCACAGCAGCTTCAATGGCCGTCTCCTTCTTGCCATACTGATCAGGTGGCCCCAAAACCTCAGACTCACTCTTATTTTCCTTTTCTACTTCATCGCATTCTGCAGCATCGGTCGTACCAATATTTTCCTCCTGTCCAATGGAAAGACCATTTTGTGTCAAAGCTGTTTCAGAGGTTGTTGATAGAGTCGTTAATACTACTGGGCCCTCTAAGGATTTTGAAGCTTCATCCATCGAACAGCTGCTTCTTTCATCTACCTGGAGGCAGGTAGTAAAATTAGCGGAAGTAGAAGCCACGGGTTCCGTACCACAGGGCGACGTGTTGACCAAAGAGTCAATATCAGGTACCTTCTGTCTACCTGTTAAAGGTGAAGAAGACCCACTAGTGCGTCCATGATGCAATCGACCAACAAGGTCGGCAGCACTCGAAGAATGTAGAGAACCGCGAGATAGTGACTGCCCAGGCCGCGAGGATGCAGTCATAGTGAGCCGTGGTTGCTGATGGGGACCAAGTCCAGGCTTGAGACCGGACACCATATCATTGGCTGTGAGTAAGGGTGGGAGAACAGTAGTGCCACCACCACTGCTACTACTGCTACTACTGCTACCACCACTCCCACGACCGGAAGTGGCTGATGTGAGCAGGCTGAGTCCTGGGTGGTCGGCAGACGAACCGAGCGAGCCAATGGAGCAGCCAGCTGGCGTACAGGATGATGAAAAGCCAGAGCCAGTAGATTTGGAGCCAGGCGAAAGAACTGAGCAAATCCCAACTATTCCTTTGCTGAGACAAGCTAATCCCCCAGGTCCAAGCGGAGCATGTGAAGAGGTGGTAGATGAAACAGAAGATGAAGGCGATGAAGCCGTAGAAGAAGTCGAAGAGAGAAGCTGTCCCCCAGATTGGGATTGCCCAGGAAGCGAGAGAGCAGACGATCCATTGGCGGATGATTGCTGTTGAGATGGTGGTGGAGACGGGGAATTCAACCCTACAGCCAGATGTGCTTGGTTGGTTTTCATGTAATACTTTTCCATTTTGCTTATAATGTGTTTTCCATAGGTGTATTTGCGTAGCATCGGAAGATATGGCCTAATGCGGGTCATTAGTTCTTTGCGGATAGAGTGTTCGGCGACATCAAGCATTTTCTGAATCACATAGTTGGCAAATTGATCTTTCATCATCATGCACAAGACAGAATCCCGATGTCCTAAACCTGGCTCTCGCGCCAGCCCGAATCCATTAGATCCAGATGCAATTCGTTCGCCAGAGATAGAAGGGCCCGAATCAACGAGTAGATCATCACCGGAGAGCATTAGATCATCTGTTGGTACGGCTAAAGATAAATCTGGTGCCACCTCACCTCCAGTGTCAGACCGTGGAGAAGATTCGCCCTCGAGCATTTCATTGATAAGGGCCTGTCGCTCGGCCCGGGTTGCATTAGCGATCGCCTTTTCAACCACATTGCTGGCAAACTTATGCACACTGAGCTCTGCAATTCGGCCACGTAGAAGGTCGACAATACGGCTCTTGTCCTCAGTCTTTCCGTGCTCAAGCACGTGCTGTTAATCAAGGGTAAATTTAAAAGAAATAAACACAGAAGTTGTTTGAACTTGTTTTAGCAGCTTGGTCATATTGGTAGGAAGACTTAGAGGAACGCACCTAGGCCGGATTCCATTGTATGCATAATACTTTCCAAAGTCGGACACTGGGCGTCGTACATTCCCAAACGTTTTGCCGGCATCATAGTCGGCATCATCAGTGAGTCTCGCCATTCTTAGCACCATACAAAGAGACAAATGAATCTATACTCTGAACAAACGTGTGCTAAACAGTTGTGGTATCTCCCCTTTTGCCCTGGGTTATTCATATTTCCTATATCCTCCTATCACACCTTAACCGTCACAATTTTTTAACGTGCCTATTTAGATGTAGTGTGGTGTGCTTTTTTGAGCAGCATTCATGAAAACCCTTCACACTCCACGCTGTCGTAATCACCCCTTCACCCTTGTGCTGGGAATATTGATCAGAGCAGGCAATATTGTTACGTAGTCCTCCTTCCCTAGGTCTTATCACAGTCTCTCCCTTGCCCCGTAAGATCCGTCTGCCCTCTACCTGGTTCACATATTTCACTCGACCCCTGCCACCCCATCTG